CCCTGACCAGTGAATGGACAAAGAGAGAGGGACAGATCTGTCCTCCTCCCGTCTGAGCCTGCGGCCGTTCCTCTGTTCGTTTGTGAAGAACTAATAAGATCTTGGAGTCCACGCGCTGCTCTGATGAGTTGCGTCATTGGGTCAAAAGTGACGTCACAACTGATTGGCCAGTGCATTCACACTACTGTTCACACACATTCACACAAGTCTTTAACATTAAGTACAGAAGTGTTTGTGTCCTTTCAGAGGAAGAAGAAGCTGAAGGAGAAGTCTGCCCCCTGTGGCCACTCACAGGAAGTGGTGGTGGTGCAGCAGCTCCAACAGTCTGTGACCTTCGCACCGGAGCCGCCACGTCAGGCGCTGAGGAAACGGAGGAGACGAGCTCATAAAGACGAGATGGAAAATGTCACTGCGGAGAAGGTCAGAAAGACGCCGCCGATGTTTGACCCTGTTATTCCCATAAAAATCTTCATCGTGGCTGTGTTTTCTCCTGCCCGTCCACACGTCATCGCTGCAGGGCCTTGACCTCGTTCTATTTACAGGAAGTTTGTTTGTTTGACGCAGGGCTGTACTTCACCCAAACATCCAATCCTGTTTTTTTCTATTTTTCAATAAAAACATTTTTTTGAATTATTTTACCATAAGCTGTATATAAGAAGTGGATCAAACTACACAGAACCTGGTGGAACCCTGAAGGCACCGTCTGCTGATTATGGGATTTATTATAAGGAATGAGAAACTTTGGGAAAAATGTCCGACTTTATTATAAGGAATGAGAAACTTTGGGGAAAAATGTCCTACAATGTTTTCAATCTTTTTTTTAAAATAACTAATTCATAAATATGAATACATTATATGATACTGTGTTATGTGAACCTGGGTCTCGGCGCCACCACAGCTACAGAAGCTCCAGAGCTGATGTCACGCATCACTGATTGGCACCAGAGGGAACTCACCGATGGTACCGATTCAAAAGTTCCCCCCAGCCCGGGCCTCCTGCTCTGGACAGACTAATCAAGAGCCACAGTCTGTTAGGATTACGTAATAACTTTTAATTGGACTCCAACAGAGTTTTGACTATGGTTTGGTGACAGTCTGAGAGGTGACATGATTGACAGGTTGATAACGTCTGTGTTGGTGTAAAAAGGAATTTCAACCGAAGACCAAGTTCATGTCTTGGTGCTGGGGTTTGAAGTTAGTGTGAAGATGGATCAAGAGCCGAGACATGAAGAGGAGCTTATTGGAGTATTTGTATGGGTAAAAAAAAATACATGAAGAAAACTGCAAGAGGACAAAAAAATATTTTTAATATTTTTATAAATATTTTTCAGTGTACATACTCTATGCTGCGGGCCTTATGTTGGAAGAAATAGTGTAGGTGGTTCCCAAGATGGGGAGCTTGCACTCCCAGGCTGCACTGAGCCATAACTAAGAGGTGGAGGTCACAGCATTATATTTGAAAGGAAAACTATATTTAAATAAAGCAGTAACTGTGAAGGTCACAGGTTCGATTCCTGGCCGTAACGGACAATTCTACGGTGGTGGTTCAGATATTTAGTGCAGACATTGGATTAACGCATGTACATAAAGATTTATGACGTTGGTGAAACTTATGACGTTTGCTGAAGTTAGGCCACATCATTGGCTGCTGCACCGCGGAGCTGCAACCAGATCTGCGCTCCATCCTCAGGCCTGGCTGCAGTTGTAGTTCGGTCGCAACTTGGAACAAGTGCACAGATCGTCCGTGCTCGTCTCAGGCTGCGGGCTGAGGGCGCACGTTCATCCGCTCCTCCTGTCGCTGCTGCTCCTCCTGTCGCTGCTGCTCCTCCTGCTGCAGTTGCGCTCTGTTCCTCCTGCAGCCTGGATGAGACCAGATCTGCAGCGGACCTTCATCACAGACCGATAGTCGGGACAGGAGGAGGTGCAGGACGATCACAGGACGCCCCTCTGCGGATGATGATGAAAGTTTGAGCTAATCTGGAATAATCCACGGACGAAGCCGCTGCGTCAGTCGGGATATTGTCTGTCGTTTCGCCTCGGAGTTAAACTAGCCGTAATCTCGGATTTTTTCAGCCGTGAGTATTTGCCGCATCACTGTCTGACGCTGTGAATCACATGATGTAGTAGGTTTAGGTTAAAGGGGAAAAGGACGAGGTCACTGTAAACAATCTGACTCATCATCATCATCGTCATCATCCTCTCAGAGTCAGGACATGTGAAGTGCTCGGCTGCATCAGCACCAGCATCAGCATCACCTAGTAGAGCAGGTAGAGACAGAGACTGTCAGAGACTCAGACTCAGGTGTGGTCCTGCAGTGATGATCCAGACTCCAGATCCTGATGTCAGCTGATCCTAAAGACTCCAGATCCTGATGTCAGCTGATCCTCATCAAGTCCTAAATAAGTTCTGTCAGAAGTTCTCTGTCACTCCTGGGCTTGTCTTTACTAGAAGATTTCACTCTCTTCTTCTGCCTCACTTTCAAAAGCATATTCTCCAGGTCTGTTGAAGGTTGCCTGGTTACTACGACTCACTCAGATGTTTGGCCTGCAGGGATGAAAGCTGGGCTGGAGGAGTGGGAAGGAAATACCTCTCTGAGCAGCCGTAGGCAGAAGAGTTTCTATAGAGTGTGGTAGAAGAAAAGAGCAGAAGACTGGAGTCAACTGCAGCAAAAATACTGAAGAAAAAAGATTCAAAAAATTCATCAAAATGGTTTCTCTGTGGACAGTTGTGTGCAGCCAAGATGGATCTGAAACCAGACCTGTATTTATTCTACATTCAAGATGAAGTTGTTTTTATTCTTTATTCTTAACGGTCTCAACTGAAATTAGCATGAACTTTTGTGGAAAAAAACAAGATTCACTACAGAAGAAGACAGAAAGAAGTTCTCAGTTCTAGATGGTGGCCTAATGGAAGAAGTTCTCAGTTCTAGATTTTTTTTTCTTGTCCTCATAATATTTCCATAGTAACAGATTTGGTGTTGATGGACAAACCTGCGTCCATTCATCATCTGTGTTCAAACCTTCTCATCTCCACAGTCGTCTCTTTTCGACACTTGTCTTCTCCCAGTCCTGATGAGGTCAGAATGATGAGCCTGGGCTTCAGTCTGGAGCTCGTTCTGAAGTGATTCATACGCAGATAACTTTCACTGCTGCCTGGAGACGCTCTTAATGCCTCGGCTGCACGGCAGCCCACTTTTAAAAGCTGTACATTTTTCAACATGACTCGACTTATGGCACCAGGCTCTAACCTTTCAAACCACAGGGTCTGTACCATGTCCCCCCCCTCATGTGTTTATACGAGGGGTCCGTATCAGCAAGAACCCAGTACGATACGACACGTCTGACGATACTCATGATACTACAATACTTCTTGGATTCTCAACACTTTCAGACTCCATCGGTTTGTGAATGAATCCAGTGACACGGGACTGAGAGATAAGATGCTCTGGAGATTCTGTGGGTTTCACTGCTACTCATTTTCGTCCTATCAGAGCGGGCGTATATGATGGAGTGCAGACAGCACTGGTGTGATGATTCAGCAGAAATGAGCCGCCCTGCAGTGTCCACGCTGGTGCTGGACAGTGTGTTTACCATCATCATGCTTCTCTCTGCAGCTCTAAATGAGTGGTTTGGCGCCCCCTATCACTCCTATTGTAATTGTATTTTTTTTCCCGAGGGTATTCAACATTCATTAGTCCATGTTTTACTGCTTAGTTCTGGTCTGGATGGCTGACGTGGGCCACGTACCACCTTTGACACCTTGACAATATTCTTACTTCAGGCCAACACCACTGTCCCACTGTGTGGCCCAGTCTGGGTCTAATCTGCAGAAACCCTGTTGTGGTTCAGTGTCTTGTCTTTGAGGTCTGAGATGTTTTTGTTTTTTCACTCATCACCAGGTCATGGAGGAGGTGAAGGACAGGCCCAAGAGGAGGCCTCTGGTCAGGGCTGCGTCAGAGGAGACCTCCACTGATCTGAGCTCCATCAGCAGCTCCCCACCCCGTGGAGACACCCTGCCCTGGAACCTGCCCAAGCACCATCGCATGAAGAGGTCCAAGTCGGCTTCTGGAGACGTGCTGGACCCGGCGGAGCGGGCCGTCATTCGGATCGCAGGTAGGAAGTCAGAATCAGTTAGAGAGAACTGTGCAGTTTGATTGATGGTGGAGGAGTTACTGACTCTGGGGTGTCAGGTGAAGGTTGTCTTTACAGTTCACACATGGCAACAGTGACCTCACTCCCCGCCCCCCTCCCAAACCCCCCTCCAATTGTCTGTGATATTGATCTGATTGGATGTAGCATTGCAGTGGCGAGTTAGAGCCGGCTGCTGTTCTCTGTCTCCACATCAGCAGCAGTGGAATCATTTTTAAATCCATCATCGTTCACGTTCTCTCTGAGTTATTTATAGTAACGTCTCCTCCTAAAAAAGAAACTCCTGTGTCACTGTGGTGCCGACAGCCCTGAGCAGGACTCCAGGGTCTGGACTTAGAACCTCTGCCTGTCTCTCTCTCTCTCTCTGTTGTCTCTCTGGCTCTCTGCCATCACAGCTCTGGTCTGGGCTTCAGTTTTATCTCCCGTCAAATGGAGTTTGGTCCGTTCTTTTTTATCAGGCTGCAGACGAGCAGGAAGTGTGGACTGACTCAGAATGAGGTGTCAGCTGGTCAAGGATGACCGTCGGAAATGTTTTTGCCTTTCCAAGTACCACCTGTATGACAACATTAAAATACTCAGCAGCCCAGACCATGTATAAAACCACCTTTATAAACCATTCTGACTTTGCTCAGTTTTTCAACTTTGCTAAAACTGTAGATGGAGAGTGTAATGATCGATGATGTCATCTGTAGACTGTAGCTACAGACTACGTCAGCAGAAGAAGAAAACCTTTAATCATAATGATTGACTTTTTGACCCAGTTGCAGTTTCTAGTTTCTAGTTTCTAGTTTCTGCTGATAATCGTGATCTGCTCTGAACAGATTTACACACATTAATAATTCAGCTGAGCTGTGAGTGGTTTGTGTCAGAATAATAAATTGTGACTCTATTATTGATTTTAAAACGTTACAATCCTCCTCGTGTTACCACGTCTATTACAGCTGCGACATCAGAACAAAGTCGTAATATTTGTGCTTCGGTTTCATCTTTATACAAACGTCAACTCATCCGTTCAAACTTCTGTCACTTTGGAACTACGTTCTTATCAGTGATAAATAATAAAACGTTTATTTATGATTAGTCTGTTAGAGCTACATTCAGGTTCATAGATTAATATTTATATTTTAGGACTACTGTGTATGTGCAGTAAACAACACTCAACACTAGAGGACAGTATCTTAAGATAAACCACTGCAGTATACTGATCCACTCTCACCTGTCACTCACTGTTGTGTAACAACATTTATAGTTTTCAAATCATGTAGCATATGATGGTGGTTCTCAAACTAAGGTACACATACCACTGGTGGCCTCCTCTAGTGGTACGCAGGCAGATTACACTCCACACATTGTTACCATACCAGGCGTTTACATCCACATCTGGACCTGAAAGGCGGTGAATGTCTGTATTTAAAGTGGAGCCAAAACTGTAAAGCTGCCGACCTGTCAATCACTCACCACGACCGACCTGTCAATCACTCACCACGACCACAGTAATTACTGATGTTCAAGTCGTCACTCAAGTGTTAGAGGGAGAAGATTAACTGTCATTAGTCAAATTTATCACTCTGTCCTTGAACTGACTTTTTTTAAAGGTGTAATTAGTATTCAGACCAGACCCAGTGAGACAGTAGTGAAGTGGAGGTTCTGTTTGTTCTAGCTGAGAACATAAAGTAGTGGCACAGAGTGGGTGTTGGGTGGAAATGTAGGGGGGGGGAGAGTGGTTGGCTGGCTGGGCACCAGGATCAGTGGCCTGAGGCCAAAGCTGGAGAGAGAGACTTCATCTGAGGGCGACACCATCTGCTGGTCAGACATGAGAATACAGGGGAAAGAGAAAGACTGGTGCAGGTGTCGGGACGGCACAGAATTTGAGAGTTATTTTTCTACACTGTCCTTCATCCTGATGTGGCTGTGAGGACAGTAGGACAGACTGTTATCTTAGAGCTGACACTGGTGTTTGTTAAACATTCTCACAGTCTGGTTTTCTTGACTTAACTTCATATAGACATAACCTTATTCACTCAGTCATGATTGTGACTGCGTGATTATCTGTCCAGTATTTGGACACATCCTGATTGGACTGTATGTTTATCACAGTAACTCTGCAGAAACTAGCAACAATGTCAATTTCGAAACTGCCAGATGAGGGCGATATGTCAAGCGTGTAGAACAACAAACCACACTAATTAGTTCACTATAATTTACCCTGCATTTATCCTGACATTTTCTCATGGGTTTACACCGACATAATCCCAGGAGTTGGACTGAAACTGGTTGGAAACATTTGAATAACTTGCACCATTGTTGTTTTTTTTTTTTTAAAGACTAATTTAGGTGAAAAGACAGATTGATGGTGACTTTGAAACCTCAGCTGGAAACAGCGTAGGTGCAGGGGGGCTGTAACTCACGGGTTGAGAAACCATACTCTTGCTCTGTTGCTTCATTTCCATGCCTGATTATCCCACTGACTTTCGAGTGTTGAAACGTGTATCACAATCTCTGTTTGAAAGATTTATGGCTTTAAATTCTACTAGGTTGCAATTTTGGGGGTTGGCAAAACCTTTTCCTGAACGCTGAGCAAACACACACTCCCTGCTGTGTGAGAAAATGATAACACACACAAATGTGAGCAGGCTGTGGCCTTGTCAGAGCAGAGAGGCTGCAGAGTCGTAACCACATGGACGGTTAGCCATACGGTTGCTGAAAGGAGACTAAAAAGTAAACCAGCAGGGGGCGACTCTGCAGTATGAGCCTGAAAGTATTTGACTCCTGATTTATAACAACAATAAACATTTAATTTTTTTTTGGTTTCAATTAACAAATTGAGGTCTTTCTCAACACAGCGTAAAAACATCTTTGTAAATGATGATCCAATTTAGAGGTAAATAGAGGATAAATCACATACTGTATGACAAACCATACATTGTTTTCCACCAAAGCAGAAAAAAACAACAAATAAAGGTGTCTTGGTTCTTTTGCCTCTTGATACCAAAAATGGTCATGTGAGTCAGATCATCATCTGACTGGACGCCTTTATGAAGTCAGTGATGATGTCCTGCCACCAAAAATGGTCATGTGAGTCAGATCACCATCTGACTGGACGCCTTCATGAAGTCAGTGATGATGTCCTGCCTCAAAGTATCTTCATCATCAAACCTCATTGGACCATATTAGTTAATGATCCCAGATGTTGGCTGGTCCCAGTGTTTTAATCCTGTTGTTGTTGTTGTTGTTACGGCGTGTGTTTGTGTGTGTAGTTAATTGAAGTAGGTTTTAGTTCATCGATGAGTAACACAGCCCGAGAGACACGTCCTTAACTATGAAGATTCCCTTCACCTAATGTGTTTGTAGCACCTACTACAGGCCAGAGAGAGAGAGCTCCCAGCATGCTTTGTGTTTGTGTTCACCGTCTACCTTCATCCTGCAGTGTTTATCCTGGTCTACGCCTTTAAGGCTCAGCTGTTTTGTCCAGTGTTTTGACCCAAACTGAAGAGGCGTGGCCGTCTGGCAGTGACTTTCTCAACGTGTCGTCATTGAATTTGTAATAAAAAAAAATCTTTTTTTCTAGACCTGTGAGAATCACATGAGTCTCTCACTTTATTCTGCCCCACTTTCCACAGCAGCAGAAACTCAGATGCCCCGTCCACACACCTCCTGCCTGTTTGTTTTTTTCTTCATGGTAGCCATGTGTGTGTGTGTGTGTGTACCAGGGGTGGGGCCAGTGTGTTCCACTGTTTTTGTATGCGTGTGTGTGTTAGTGTGTTAGTTTGTCTGCTGTGACTTCATCAACTTGGTGGTGAACTTCTGTCTCTGTGCCTTTAAGAGGAGGGTCACAGAGTAAATGTGAGTGTGGGTATTTCTACATCAGAGGAGGGCAGTTCTGCTGGTGCTGGTGGTCTTCTGGATTTAAACCTACAGCTTTACACCGTGACCGAGTGTGGGTGAGGAAGGAGGTGGGACAGACAGACACAGACAGACAGAAACAGACAGTCAGGAGGTGTTTTGTCAGGAGGAAACAGTTGACATTAGAGAAAGTTCTGACCATGGCCATGATTGACCCGGGTCAGCGGCTGCCAGAGGAGCAGGAGTATGTCCTGGCCTATGAGAACGTCAGGGAGAAGTGTAAAGGTAACTGAACTAAACTTCCTTACTTTGACTGTAAATACTGAAACGGTAACCATGGCAACTCCGGTCCAGCCCAGGAGACACCTGGATATGTGGTGGAATGATGGAGCTTGATGTTTGTCAGTTTGGTTTGTCAGATTTGGACCATGAGCTGGTCATGGTGTTGGCACATGTTGGCTGAAAGTAGTCTCAAAATGATCACGGGCCCAAATATGGGTCCATTGTTTGGACCACATATATTTTGTTTGGCCTAGACACAGGTTGTAGTTCTCTTCTAAAGATTGAAGCGGCCCATGTGTGCATGCTAGTGAGTGTGAGTGTGAGTGTGTTACATTTTCATGTGTCAAGCATAGCAAAACAGGGCGTTCATTTAGTAATGAATGATCAGTCTGTGGCCAACAGGTGCACACACTGTATGAGGTCCATATTGTAGGTACCATATATGACCTAGAAGATACCCAATGTGGACTAATATTCTTTGTTTAATAAAATGTCTATAAAATGTAAAGTAAAAAAAAAAATTGTGACCAAAACCCTAAAATGCCAACGCCCTCTGCTGTCTGTTTTATGACCTACAAACCAAAGATATTCAGTCCACTGTCATCAAAGCTAAGGAACCAAAAATACTCTGTTTTTATATGTGCAAAGTATTTTAAAGACTTTAAAGGCAGAGAGTGGAGAGAAACCAGCAGCAACTTTCTGCTGATGTTTTTTTGACAGTCTAGTTTTGACAGTTTTCTGGACTGAACCCTAGCAGTAGATGTTGGCTGCAGACCATAATACAGGTTCAGTTAAGTTCCAGATAATGAATCGTTATCTTCTAGCTCAGGCAGGTGGGG